TGGCCCATATACAACAGGCTTTCTTCTGTCTTAGCCGTTGCAGAGCTATGTACCAGATAACTAAGGACAACCTGTATACTACGAGGCCATCTGAAATTATTCATACTAGCCAATCCTAATTGGTTTACTCTGCCCTACCTTGCTTTTCCTGTGGAAACTCCAATAGAGGCTCTAGTCCAGGCTTTTCTCTTGCTCCTGTTTTCTGTCTCCTGACTACCCCAAGGCTTCCCCATGTAACCCTATATGACATGGCATGCTTTCTATTTCTAGAACCTGTGAGTATAACAAACGTTGTTTTCCTCTCATGGCCACACCTGACCATCACAGAAAAGAACACAGAACAGGTTATTTGGATCTTCTCTTTTTCTTGGTTAGCATAGCTATAAGTTTATCGATTTTAACTAGATTCTGGTTTCCGTGATTTTCTCTATTGTTTCCCTGTTTCAGTTCCATTGATTTATGTTCTAATGTTTATTGTTACTTTTTTTTGCTTTCTTTAAGTTTAATATTTTTCCTTTAGCTGCTGAAGGTAGACATTTAGATTGAGTTTAGATTTTTCTTCTTTTCTAATACATGCATTGAATGCTAAGCACTCCAAGCTCTGCTTTCATAGCATTCCACAGGTTTTGATAAGTTATATTTCAAATTTTATTTAGTTCAAAATGTTTCTTTTTTCTTTTCTTTTTTTTTTTTTTTTTTGAGACGGAGTCACGCTCTGTCACCCAGGCTGGAGTGCGGTGGCGTGATCTTGGCTCACTGCAAGCTGTGCCTCCTGGGTTCATGCCATTCCCCTGCCTCAGCCTCCCGAGTAGCTGGGACTACAGGTGCCCACCGCCATGCCCAGCTAATATTTTGTATTTTTTAAATAGAGATGGTGTTTCACTGTGTTAGCCAGGATGGTCTCGATCTCCTGACCTCGTGATCCTCCCTCCTCAGCCTCCCAAAGTACTGGGATTACAGGCATGAGCCACCGCGCCCAGCCCAAAATGTTTTTTTAATTCCTCTAGATATTTACTTGATCCATGTATTATTTAGAAGTATGAATTTAATTTGCAAATATTTTGTGGGTTTCCAGCTGTTTTGTTATTGATTTTTAGTTTAGCTTTATTGTGGTCTGGGACCACAGTTTGTATAATTTCTGTTATAGGTTAAAGTGTGCCACCTCCCCCTCCCTACCATATATTGAATTCCTAACCCCTAGTACCTGTGAATATGATCTTTACAGATATAATTACATTAGGATGAGGTCATTAGGGTGGCCCAAATCCAATACTACTGGAGTCTTTATGAAAAGCAGGAATGCCATGCAAAGACAGAAACACACAGGGGAAATGCTACATGATTAGAGGCAAAGAGAGGTTGTAGTGATGCAGCTGCAAGCCAAGGAATGTCAAGAAGTGACAGTTACCATCAGAAGCTAGAGGCAAAGAAAGAGTCTCCCCTTCAGGTTTCAAGCAAAACATAGTCCTGGTGATACTGTGGTTTTGTACTTCTAGCCTCCAGACCCATGGAACAATAAATTTCTGTTGTTTTAAGCCACTCACTTGGTGGTACTTTGTTACAGCTACCCTAAACTATATAATTTCTATTCTTTTAAATTTATTAAAGTGTGTTATAGGTACAATGTTTTCTAGCTTGGTGACTGTTCCATGTGACCTTGAGAAAAATGTGTATTCTGCTGTTATTGAAATGAGTATTCTATAAATGTCAATGAGATCAAGTTGATTGATGGTGCTGTCCAGAGCAACTCTTGCTGATTTTCTGCCTGCTTAACCTGTTAATTACTGAAGGAGTAATGTTGAAGTTTCCAAATATAATGATGGATTTGTCTATTTCTCTTTGCAAGTCCTATCAGTTTTTGCCTCATGCATTTTGACACTATTGTTAGGAGCATATACACCAGGATTGTTCTATCCCCTTGGAGAACTGACCTCTATCATTAATGCTCCTCTTCATCCCTGATAATTTTACTTGTTCTGATGTCATCTTTGTTTGAAATTAATATAGCTACTCCAGCTTCCTTTTGATTAGTGCTAGCATAGTATTCCTTTCTTTATCCCTTGATGTTGTAAATAATTGTTATTTTTAAGATGTTTTAACAGCTTGAGTGATTCATTTCACATATCTATGTTTACCCATATAAAGTGTACTACTTATTGGCTTTAAATGTATTCACAGACATGTACACCATCAACACAATTGATTTTAGAATATTTTCACTAGCACCCCCCAAACCCTGCAACTCCTTAGCTAACCCTCCATCATCTGCCAAGCCTAGACAACTACTAATCTACTTCTGTCCCTATGGATTTGCCTATTCTGGACATTTTCTACAATATGTAGTCATATTGAAATAGAATCCTATAGTATGTGATCTTTTGTTAATGAAATTAGATAATACTTGGTCGTTTGTGAATGGCTTCTTTCACTTAGCATAATATATTCAAGGTTCATCCATATTGTGGTATATATGTACTTCATTCTTTCTTGTTTCTGAATAATATTCCATTGTATGAATATACCACTTTTTATTCAACCACTTATTGGTTTATGACCATTATGGGTTCGTTTTGCATTTTGGCTGCTTTGAATAATCCTGATACAAACATTTATATATATACTTTTCATGTGGGTGTGTTTTCATTTTGCGTGGGGTATACCTAGCAGTGGCTGCTGGTTGCTGGATTGTGTGGTAACTCTGTGTATAAACTTTTGAGAAATTGCTAGACCATTTTCCACAGTGGCTGCACAATTTTCCCATTCCCATTAACAGTTTATGAGGGTTCAAGTTTCTTTACATCCTCCTCTACATATGTTACTGTTCATCCTTTTTTTTTTTTTTGAGACGGAGTCTCCCTCTGTCACCCAGGCTGGAGTGCAGTGACACGATCATGGCTCACTGCAACCTCCACCTCCTGGGTTCAAGCGATTCTCCAGCTTCGGCCTCCTGAGTACCTGGGATTACAAGCATGCACCACCACCACTGGCTAATTTTTTGTACTTTTAGTAGAGATGGAGTTTCACCATGTTGGCCAGGCTGGTCTCAAACTCCTGACCTCTGGTGATCTGCTCGCCTCAGCGTCCCAAAGTGCTGGGATTACAGGTGGGAGCCACTGCGTCTAGCTGTCCATCCTTTTGATTATAGCCATTCTAGTGGGTGTCAAGTGGCATTTCATTTTGGTTTTAATTTTCATTTCCCTGAAGACAAATTGAGCATCTTTTCATGTGCTTTTTGGCTACTTGTATATGTTCTTTGGAGAAGTCCCTATTGAAGATTCTTTGCCCATTTTTAACTTGGGTTGTCTTTAAAAAAAAATTTTTTTTTTGAGACAGGGTCTCACTCTGTCACCCAGGCTAGAGTGCAGTGGTGTGACCATGGCTCTTTGCAGCCTTGATCTCCCTGGCTCAAGCGATCCTCCCAATTCAGTCTCCTAGTAGTTGGGACTACAGGTATGTACCACTGGACCCAGCTAATTTTTATTTATCTGTTTCCTTTTTTTTTGTAGAGATGGGGTCTCACTGTGTTGGCTTGACTGGTCTGGAACTCCTGGGCTCAAGTGATCCTCCTGACTTAGCCTTCAAAGTGCTGAGATTACAGGCATGAGCCACTGCACTCACCTATTTTTGAATTTTAATAGTTTTTTCTATAGTCCAGACACAAGTTATTTATCAGATATATAATTTGCAAGAATTTCCTCCCTTCCTGTGGTCTTACTTTATTTATGGTATCTTTTGAAACAAAAAGTTTTTAGTTTTGATAATGTCTAGTTCATCTATTTTTCTTTTTTGTTTTTTTCTTGAGACAGAATTTCACTCTTGTCCAGGTTGGAATGTGATCTCAGCTCACTGCAACCTCTGCCTCCCAGGTTCAAGCGATTCTCCTGCCTCAGCCTCCCGAGTAGCTGGGATTACAGGCATGAGCCACCATACCCGGCTAATTTTTTTTTTTTTTTTTTTTTTTTTTAAGTAGTGGCAGGGTTTCTCCATGTTGGTCAGGCTGGTCTTGAACTCCCAACCTCAGGTGATCCATTCGCCTCTGCCTCCCAAAGTGCTGGGATTACAGGCATGAGCCTCCGTGCCCAGGCTCTTTTTTCTTTTTTTGCTAATGCTTTTGGTGTCATATCTAAGAATCCATCAAAGATTCTCAGAATTGTAATTCAAGGTCATAAAGATTTACACCAACAGTTTCTTTGACGAGTTTTAGAGTTTTAGCTCCTAAGTTTATGTCTTTGATACATTTAAATTTTTGTATATGTTGTGAGGTAAGGGTCTAACTGCATTGTTTTGAATTTGTATATCCAGTTGCCTCCTCATCTGTTGAAGACGATTCTTTTCCCATTGAATGGTCTTGCACCCTTGCTAAAGATCAGTTGACCATACATATCACGGTTTATTTCCGGACCTCAATTTTATTCCAAAACAACTGAAATAATTAACTGCTTACGTGTTTCAGGCATGATCCTAAGCACGAATTCATTTGCTTCTCGTAACTGTGAAGTGGGCACTATTCTCACTCCCATTTGACGAATGAAGTGGCTGAGATAGAGTGATTTGCCCAAGGCCACATAACTAGTAAGTGGCAGTGACAGGATAAGAATTTAGGTTTACTAACTTGAGAACCTGAGTCTTAGCCATGCATGCTGTAAACAAAAATTAGAAATCAAAACTTATGAATTCCACTGAAGAGTTCACTTTAAGCAAACGGGGTGAAGGTCGGATTAGCCACTAACGGTTTGAAGAGCACAACAGGGAGGGACTTGCCTCACCAGCTTGCTTTCTACAGAGTAGCAGCAACTGACCTGCCTCTTTGGGCTGAAACTCCTCCAACCCCCAAGTTGAGAATTTACACGGGCTGTAAGTCGAATTTCCAGTTAGGAAGCCTTCCTGGGTTACTGGGGCAGTGCCGAGTGGTGCGAGCAAAGGCCGGGCCCGCTGCCAGAATCTCGCCTGGCTCTTCGCACAGAATTTGGAAGTGGGAACGCGTAGGCGACCGGGCGGGAGGCTGCCCGGGATGTGGAAACTCTCGCGGGAAGATGCGTCGTTGCCTCGGTAACCGCGTCGCAGTCGCCAAAGATGGCGGGGCGAAGTCTGGGTCTTACGGTCAGTTCAACTCCAGGCTACTGGGGAGCGTCTAGGCTCCGGCGACTAGGACGCCTAACCTCCTTTAACTTTGGCTCTGAAAGTCTCTGGCTCTTTTACAGAGAAGCAGCGTTCCTGGGACTCCGCTTCCGCTACCCGTTCAGCAACCCTCTACACCTGGACCCGACCTCCTCGCCTTGGAGGAAGAATATAAGTAAGAAATTCAGCGGTTGAGCTTTTCCTTCTTTCTTTCATCTAAATTAGGCTTTTTTTTCCTGGAGACTGGCTGGATCTTCGGGGCCACTCACTCTGCAGCATTCCCTTCTTGTCCTCTCGTTCACCTGCCGTTGATCCTTTTATCTCTGATCTGAGTAGTTCGCCTGCGTATTCGAAGATATTTGAAGTGGGCGAAAATTTAGCCCAAGTAAACATGTTGTTTAATTTGAAATGTAGCTCAAGTAAACAGCAAGATACTGTTGAAAGTTATTCGGGTAGCAGGAATTGCCGCAAATAGTTCATATGATAGTTTAGGTTATTTCGCTTAATTTCAAGTTCATAATGTTTACCTTGGGTAAATTTCCTTTAGGTTGGTTTCTAAATTGAAAGGATGCTTCCCACTGCAATCAGAATTACCGTTCTCGTTCAAATGTTCCTTTTCTTATCTGTTCTTGGTGTAATTACAACTATCTTGACAACGGTGCTTTCATTTTTGGCCCATTACACTCCTCATCCCCAAGTTTTCACACAGCAGTCAGTGTAATCTTTTAATTTGATCATATCATATTCCTTTTCTTAAAATTGTACAATAGTTTACTGTTGCGTTTCAAAAGCTCTGATCACTGTGGCTCCTTCTGCCTCCCGTATTTGATCTTATTCCCTCTTCCCCTTTTCATCCTAAAACTCTCCAGCTTCACTGGCCTTTTAGTTCCGAAAACTCCCAGGTTTTCTTTCTGTCTCTGGAAAGAGGCAGTCCCACACGCCTTCAACCTGTAATGTGAGTGGCCTTCCTTGACCATGCTAAGTATGCTCCCTTGTTGGTCTTTTTCATTGTCTTACTGGTTTTTCTTTCTAATTAGCATAATTTGTTACAATAAATTCATTTGTGAATTTCGTTTTTGTCTGTCTCCTCCATTGGACTGTAAGTTCTAAGGGCAGAGACCGTGCCTGTTTTATTTGCCATCGTACATACCCTTATAAAAAAGTTCCTTTTAATGACTCCCTTTCTTTTTAATTTAATATAAAATAACTAGATTAAAATTTGGAAATAGTTGGCAGTTTGTATCAGAGAGTTAGAGTTACCATATGATCTACATATGATCTATATTTAAAATTAAAGCATATTTGAAATTAAAACTGAAGGGTACTGTGTTTAGATGAACTATACACCGACCAATTTACCACAGCAAGTAGGAAGATAATCATATCTTCTTTCTTATGAAATGGGCAGATTATCCCAGTTCAAAAGTGTACTTAAGCAACTTAATCTATTTTCTATATATAGTTCTTTATCAGCTGTGTCTGAATCAAAACGGTTATTTTCATTATCATTAACCATATAGTATTAAATACCTGGATTAGGTTTATTTGTTCAGTTATTTGAGAGTGTATTTTGTATTTTGCACCTGGTTCTGGTGCATCGTTAGGGATGTAGTCCTGCTTAAAATGAGAAATATACAGGGACCATTATTCTATTCTAGCACGAGTTGTTTTATAAAACGAGATAGCTAAACAGTATTATATGGTGGCCAGCTGTTACTTGTTCTGTCATCTGTACTCTGAGTTGTGCACATCTGAAGCATATGAACAGAGTAACTCCCTACACTACCTGAATCTTCTAGAGTACTTCTGTGTCATGCAGAAGAGTAAAATGTCTGGCCATCCCTGTAAGCAAGAATATGAAATAACAGTATGGTATCTGTTTTGCCACCTGTTGTCTTGGCATTGATCATTAGAATGCTACTTCCCAGGGACCTCAATCCAAAACCTTTGCAATTCTGCTCCTGTTGGAGGAAATAATCACTATCTAAGAGGATAGACTAAGGAAGATGGTAATCGCTCAAGTGGATAAATTTTTCAAGCTTCATTCCTGTATTATAATACAGATAGCTAACAATAAGATAACATGATAACTGGTAGGGCAAGCCCCCTCATAAATCCCAGTTACATTGGATTTACAGATTAATTTGCAGATAACTGAGTTATTTATGCTATTAAATCTTCCATGAATATGATACTTCTCCATTTATGGGTTTTATTTGACCTTTAATAGTGTTTTACCATTTTACTACATACAATTCTTGCATATATAATTTGCTTCAAGGTACTGATTAGTTGCTATATAATAAGTGGAATTTTTTCTATTACATTTTCTAATTGGTTATAAATGTAGAATTTTTAGATGTTGATGCTACATCTGTATTTATATACACACAGATCTTCAGTACTGCTGGGCTCTCTTATTCATTCTGTGAAGTCCCTTGGATTTTTGATGAAGACAATTATATGCGAATGTTGATCATTTTGTCCCTTGATAATTCTCCTGCATTCTCTTTTTTTTTTTCTCTGTTTAGGACTTCCCATGTGATATGGAACAGAAAAAGTGATGGTGAGCTTCCTTGTTTGTGATTTTGAGAAGCCCACTTTTAATAATCACTACATTTGAGATTTTCCCTAGGGTTTTGGTAGATTCTTTTTATTATGTTTAAAATTCTTCCCCTTATTTCCTAATTTGAATGAGTGTTAAATGTATCAAAACTTATTTTTTCTCCAATTAATTCGGGTATTGGTATGTTCTTTTCCCCTCCTTTAATGTTTTAACATACTGAACTACAAAGGCAGGTTTCTTGTTTTGCTTTAAAGACTGCTAGATATGATTGCTATAATTTTATGTAAGTTTTTTGCATCTATGAACAAAAGTGAAATGGGTGTTAAACTTTTTTTTCTAGTTCTTTTCCTTTCCGTTTTTGATATCAATATTATTCTGGCTACATGAAAGAAGCCAAATAGTTTTCCTTTTTTGTTTCTTTTCTTGGAAGCTTTTTATAATTACAGATTTTCTGCCCTTTGATTAAAATTGTGAAACTGTCTGAGTCTAGTGTTCTTTTTTCAAGGGGATTCTTTTTGTCTATGGATTTAGCTTCTTTAATGATTGTTTAGATATACTATTTCTAGAATAGTTTTTGGTTATTTCTAAAATAATTTTTGGTTCTAGAAAAGTGTTCATATCATGTATGTTTTAAAATATATTAGCATAAACTGACTCTATGGTGGTATGTTTGAAATCTTGACTGTATCCGTAACCATGTACACCCCTTCTTTTGGTAGCTTTCCAATATTGTTTAGTTTTGTCTTTTTCTTTTCCTATCAAGCTTCCTGGGAGATTTATCTGTTCATTGGTCTTTCCAGAGAACCAGCTTTGGTTTTCTTGCTAATCTGTGCGATTTTAAAATTTCATTAATCTTTATAGAAATAAAGACAAATGATCTCTTCTAACTGGGGTGGATTGATTTTTTGTTTTTTAATTTCTTTACCTTATTTATTGTTTTTCTTATTTCTAAATAAATATATTTGTGTCTTTAAATTTATCTTCAACTATAGGTTAACTATATTCCAGGACTTGTTTTGATGTATATTTCTTTTATGGTTATTTAGTTCTAAATATTATATGATTTTCATAGTAATTTTTAGAAGTGTTTTTTAGTTTGCAAGCACATAGGGTTGTTTGTTTACTGTTGTCTAGTTTTTATTTTTCTAAGTATGTATGTGACAAGGTCTTGCTCTGATGTCCAGGCTGGAGTGCAGTGGTGTGATTATGGCTCACTGCAGCTTTGACCTCCTGGTCTTAAGAATTCTCCCACCCCAGCCTCCTGAGGAGCTGGGACTACAGGCACATGCCACCATGCCATGGTAATTTTTTTTTTTTTTTTTTTGAGACAGAGTCTCACTCCGTGCCCAGTCTGGAGTGCAATGGTGTGATCTCAGCCCACTGCAACCTTCACCTCCCAGGCTCCTGAGCAGCTGGGACTACAGGCATGTGCTAGCATGCCCAGCTTATTTTTGTATTATATTTTTTGTAGCGACTGGGCTTCACCATGTTGCCCAGGCTGGTCTTTAACTCCTGGACGCAAATGATCCACCTGCCTCGGCCTCCCAAAGTGCTGGGATTACAGGTCCAGCCTAGTTTATTTTAAATTTCATTATGATTAGAGAATTGACATATTAACTTTTTAAATGTATTGAGACTTATTTGTGGCCAAGTGCATGTTCACTTTCTGTAAAAGTTCTACGTGTTCTTTGATAGAAAATGTATTTATTATTTGTTGTCTAATCTGTTCTGTATTTGTTCTTCATGACATCGGTATCCTCGCCTTTTTTTGTTGCAACTTTATTGGTTTCTGTTAGAAGTGTATTAAAAATCATCAATTATAATTATAGTTTTAAAAAATCCTTATGATTGTGGCCATTTTTCTTTGGGAGTATCTTATTTGACTTATTGAAATCTTCTTGATTCCTTTCATTATTATGCAGTGTCTGTTATATCTTTCTTCATCCCTCTATTTTCAAACTTTGTATGTCATTTATCAGTAAGAGCATTCTTTTTATAACCAGTCTGATAATTTCTGCCTGTTAATAAGTGAATTTAATTTATTTACATTATTACATAACCTGAAATTGTCTTAGCCACCTTATTTTTTATGTTTTCTATTATGTCTTGTCTTTGGTTCTTGTCCGTCTTCTGCTGGATTGAATGGGTTTTCATTATGTCTTTATTTTTACTGGTTTGGAAAGATGTTAGAATTCTTTAACTTGGTTTCCTCTGTTAAGTTAGATAATATTTTACTTTGTTGTTTTGAATACACCCACACCCAGTTAATCATCAATGTATTTTTATAGTCTGTACTAATTTAGATTTATCATGTTTTCTGATATCTTCATGATTCTTTTTTTCCAGATTCAGTTTCCTCCTTCCTGAAGTGTAGACCCTTTGTTATTTTCTGTGAAAACCTGAGTCTTAAACTCTCCAGTCTTTTTGAAAATTGTTACTTTGCACTTATTCTTCAATGACAGTTTATCTGAATATAGTTCTAGATGGCCAACTTTTCCTTCTCAGCCCATTAAAGATATCCTTATATTGTCAACAGACAATATAAATGTTACAATGTTGGAAGTGTTAATGAGCCATCTGCTGTCAGCTTTTTAGATAATTATGCTGGTAGACTATTTTTCTCTGTTCTTTTAAAATAATGATTTGGTAGTTTAGGGAGTACTGTCTTTATCTTTAAAATTCTGTACTTTCACTGTGATGTATACACAGGTGGATTTGTTTTCTTTATTCTTCATGAGATCCATGTCTTCAGTTTGGGAAATTCTCAGCATTAGCTCTTGAAATACTGTCATTCACTCCTCTTGGGATTTCTTTTTTTCTTTTTTGGAGACAGAGTCTCACTCTGTTGCCCAGGCTGGAGTGCAGTGGCATGATCTTGGCTCACTGCAGCCTCCGCCTCCCAGGTTCAAGCGATTCTTGTGCCTCAGCCTCCCGAGTAGCTGAGATTACAGGCATGCAGCACCACACCTGGCTAATTTTTGTGTTTTTAGTAGAGTCGGGGTTTCACCACGTTGGCCAGGCTGGTCTCCTGGCCTCAAGTGATCCTCCCTCCTCCACCTCCCAAAGTGCTGGGATTACAGATGTGAGCCACTGCGCCCGGGCCTCTCTGGGATTTCTTTCTAAAACTTCTGTTATAGTAGGTACAGAACATCTGTCTTCAATGGATGTTAACCTGTCTTTTGTGTTTTTGTCCCCTTGTTTTCTGTATCTCCTCGTAGGTGATTTCTTTATATCTGCCTTCTAATTCACTCATTCCTTCTATGTCCATTATATTGTTCAACATATCCGTCAAATTGCCTTGAGTTCTTCTTAATTTCAGTGACTGTGTTTTTCATTTGTGTAATTTATTATTTCTATCTTTTTCAAATTCAACGTTTTTTTGTGATAAAATTGGCTCTTGCCTAATGTTTTTTTCTGTACGCATTTTTTTACAAATTAATGCTAATTTAAAAATCTTTTTTGAATTGTTATTTTATCTCTTCTTCTTATAGTACAAATTTTCTCTTTCCTCACGTCTGCTGATTCTTTCTTTCCACAGGTTGTTTCTTTATGCAATTTGTTACCTTTTTGAAATCATCATTAGCAGTTTGCTTTTTGAGAGAGTCCTATATATTCTAGATGAGTAAATGTCCCTATAGGGTGGTTTTCAATTTACCTTTGCTAGTTTCAAGTTTTCATTGATTCCACATCAGCTTTCTTCTATTTTAAAGTTTTGGCATGTATCATCTAGGTAAGATGAATTTGGACTTCCCTCTTGTTTGTTTTAATTACTTGCAAGAGAATCTTTTTCTACCCATGATTCTAGTTTCATTTCTGCTCACCTAAGGTTGTGGGTAGAATTTTTGCAGTCTGTGTTTCACAGGTGTATCCCTTCATGACTCACATGCATCAGCTTCTAGCTTTTAAGCTATTTTGGCTTCTGTTCCTGTTTGTTGCTCTCACTTTGAATTGCTGCTTTATTCTTAGTGCCAGGGCATTTCCCTTGCCTGAGTTTGAGCTTAGCAATATTTCCTCCATTACATTTTATCTGGCATGTCCATGGATTTAGAGTAGAATAGTCTTCTCAGTCATCTTGGTCCACTATATTAATTGGAAACTTCCATTTAAGTCCTTGTGATCTAGTCCTTGTTAGGGAAATTTGAAAAATCAGGTAATGGCACTTTAAAGGCACCTTTAAGTCTTTCTTAGGTATTTTTCTTTTGACCACGTAATCCTAAGATATAAAAATATTTCTTAAAGCTTCAGACTGTTAAAGGATATGGTACTGATCTCCCTCTTTTTTTTTTTCCCTTGGGCTGGAGGTTGTGTTTTGTGTTACTTGTGAATCACATGTCTAAGAAAAACAAGATAACTAATTTTTCAAATCCTTATCATGTCTCCTTCACATAACCTCAGAAGATCCTAGGTGGTCTAGAAATGTGACATTTCAACAGGAGAAAAAAGTTATATGCCTTTGAGTATGTTTATTATGGTGTTAACCTTTAAAAGTGAAAAAGGGGACTTAACAATAGGGACAGAGTTCAGTATATTATGTTCATTGCAATTTATTGAATTGTATAGCCGTTTAACATGCTTATAAAGATTACGTGGAGATAGATATTCCTTTTATATTGCTGTGGGCAAACAGTACAAAATTGTGTATATGCTATAGTTGAAAATTGGAAGGGAATATTAAAAATAAAAATGGATGGTGGTGGTAGGATTATGGGCAGTTTTTCCTTTAAAAACAATTTCTTTCAATAATAATGTCATTCTTGCAGTCTTAATATAGGACCAAGTAAATAGTATTCCTTTTCTTGCTAGATTCCAGGTAGAATGAAAAATCATAATTAAAAAAGGAGTGACAGGTCGAGGTCAAGATAGTCACCTTTATTTCCAAGAAAGCTCGATGTTAAAGTGTGTAGCTGAGGTGTGAGCCACCTCACACCTCAGCTGGTGTGCTGCTCACTAAACCTCACATTTAGCTCCCCAGTTAAAGCAACACCCCAAACCAGAGCAGGTCTCCCCCATACCCTGCCCACTTCTGCCCACAATTAGAACAGGGCCTGTCTCTGGAGAAGCAAGATTAGAACTTGTATTCTTTGCAGGTAGGCTAATAACAACTCTATTGAACTCACCCAGCTTATTCTTCCCAAATACATTAGGTAAGTTGCTTCACTTGAAATTAATAGAGGGCCACAGAAAGGCTAACACTTAGTGTTTGAGGTCGTACCACAAGGAAGGAGGAATCATGGGGAGTTGAGGATAAGTTCTTAATGGCTGTGTTCATTTTAGAGTAAGAATGCCATATGTATATTTTGGCATTTGTTGATTAGGTCACTTGATAACGTGTAACTGCTGAAGTGTAATTTTTATTTTTGTTAGGATCTTCAGTATATCCCAATTATTTTCTGCTTTTAGGCGTTTAAATGCAGAATTACAGGCAAAAACAGCTGATGTGGTTCGACAAGCTAAGGAAATAATAGTAAGTAAATGTACAATTATTAATAATTCCAAATAAATGCTAGTTTTTTATCTTTTTCATTTGATATATGACGTATATACAAAAAACTAGCCAAAGCGTGTGTGTTCAGTTCAATGAATTATTACAAACTGAATGTGAATGTATATGCACAGGTATAGGAAAGTGTATATGTGTATGTTTTTAGTAAGCACACATTTTCTAAAAGCCACTGAAAAAGTACTTTCCATTTAGATGCTCCAGTCATCTAAATTTTCATTATAAATTCTCATTATTAATTGATAGGATAGAGTGACTCTGCTTAGAGGAGTAGAGTTTACTTTAAAATTTTTACCCGTTCTTACCTAATTTTGATTCTTACTTTCTATCCTCCCTGTCCCCCACAATGGAGTTGATGGAAGCAGGGAAGGAAACCTAGGCAATATTTTATCTTAATGCCTTATGCAAATCTACAATTATTTGTTAGTTTAGGAATAAGAAATGTATGATATATAACATTTCAAGTAATGTGTTTCGATAATGGTTACAGATTTGTATTTTATAATTTATAAGTAGATGTTTCACTAAAAATATTTATAATTAAATTTATAATTACGTTTTACTAATTTATAATTAAATGTTTTACTAAAAATATTTTTATTTCATCTTTTAGTTTTTGCCAGTGTCTGAAGAGCAGGAAAATACTTGTACAAAAGGACCCCATGTTATAGTAGATGACGGATTCCTTACGTTTTCTGCTCAGAGAGCCCCATAAAAAGAATCTCCCCCTGGCTGGGCACAGTGGCTCACGCCTGTAATCCCAGCACTTTGGGAGGCCAAGACGGGCAGATCACGAGGTCAGGAGATCGAGACCATCCTGGCTAACACGGTGAAACCCTGTCTCTACTAAAAAATACAAAAAACTAGCCGGGCGTGGTAGCGGGCGCCTGTAGTCCCAGCTACTCGGGAGGCTGAGGCAGGAGAATGGCATAAACCCCGGAGGCGGAGCTTGCAGTGAGGTGAGATCCAGCCACTGCACTCCAGCCTGGGCGACAGAGCGAGACTCTGTCTCAAAAAAAAAAAAAAAAATCTCCCCCTGCAAATAAAAAACAGAATAGAATACGGACAAGCTAGGAAAGGGGTTGGGGAGTGGATTCCTACCCCTGCAGAAGCGAACAATATCAGGTTTCTCATATTTAATTTTTTTAATGTTTGTGATTACATAGTAAGTGTTTATGGGGTAAATGAGATATTTTGATACAGGCATGCATTGTATAATAATCACATCATGGAAAATGGGGTATCCATCCCCTCAACTCTTTATCCTTTGTGTTACAAAAAATCCAATTATACTCTTTTAGTTAATTTAAAATGTACAATTAAATTATTTTGACTATAATAAACATGTTGTGCTATCAAATACTAGGTACTATTCATTCTTTCTAACTATATTTTTTGTACCTATTAGCCATCCTTATCTCCCACCCCTGCATCCCCCACTACCCTTCACAGTCTCTGATAACCATTCTTCAACTCTCTATCTCCATATGTTAAGTTGTTTGGATTTTCAGATCCCACAAATAAGTGAGAACATGTGAAGTTTGTCTTTCTGTGCCTGGCTTATTTCACTCAGTGACCTCCAGTTACATCCATGTTGTTGCAAGTGACAAGGACTCATTGTTTTTTGTGGCTGAATAGTACTCCATTGTGTATATGTACCACATTTTATTTATCCATTCATCTGTTCATGGACACTTTGGTTGCTTCCAGATCTTGGCTATTGTGAACAGTGCTGCAACAAACATGGAAGTGCAGATATCTCTTTGATATATTGATTTCCCCTCTTTTGGACCTATATGCAGCAGTGGGATTGTTGGATCATATGGTAACTTTAGTTTTTTGAGGAACCTCCAAACTATTTCCTTTGTGGTTGTACTACAAAGTGTACCAGTACTACAGTGTACCAGGGTTCCCTTTCTCTGCATCCTCACCAGCACTTGTTATTGCCTGTCTTTTGGATATAAGCCATTTTATCAGAGTTGAGATGATATTGTAGTTTTGATTTGCATTTCTCTGATGATCAGTGATGTTGAACACCTTTTTAATGCCTGTTTGCCATTTGTATGTTTTTCTTGAGAAATGTCTATTCACATCTTTTGCTCATTTTTAAATTGGATTATTAGTTTTTTTTTTCCTATAGTGTTGTTTGATCTCCTTATATTTTCTGCCTTGTATTCCCTTGTCGATGGGTAGTTTGCAAATATTTTCTCCCATTCTGTGGGCTGTCTCTTTATTGTTTCCTTCACTGTGCAGAAGCTTTTTAACTTTATTTGATCCCATTTGTCCATTTTTGCTTTGGTGATCTTTGCTTGTGGGGTATAACTCAAGAAATCTTTGTCTCCAATGTCCTGGAGAGTTTCCTCAGTGTTTTCTTATAGTAATTTCATTGTTTTGAGATCTTAGATTTAAGTATTTAATCCATTTCGATTTGATATTTGTATATGGCAAGAGGTAGGGGTCTAGTCTCATTCTTCTGCATGTGGATATTCCGTTTTCCCTTTGTGTATGTTCTTGGAAACCTTGTCAAAAATGAGTTCACTGTAGGTGTATGGATTTGTTTCTGGATTTTCTCTATTCTGTTCCATTGGTGTGTGTGTCTGTTTTTATGCCAGTACTCTGATGTTTTGGTTACTATAGCACCATAGTATAATTTGAAGCCAGGTAATGTGATTTCTCCAGTTTTGTTCTTTTTGCTTAGGGTAGCATTGGCTATTCAGAGTCTGTTGTGGTTCCACATAAATTTTAGGATTGTTTTTTCTATTTCTGTGAAAATGTGATTGGTATTTTGCAAGGGGTTGCATTGAATCTGTAGATTGCTTTGGGTAGTATGAACATTTTAACAATATTTATTTTTCTAATCCATGAACATGGAGTATCTCTCCATTTTTTTGTGTCCTCTTCAAATTCTTTCATTGATGTTTTATAGTTTTTGTTGTAGAGATCTTTTACTGCTTTGGTTATATTAACTCTTAGGTATTTTATTTGTGGCTGTTGTATATGGGATTACTTTTTAATTTCTTTTTCAGATTGTTGACATACAGAAACACTACTGATTTTTGTATTTTGATCTTGTATCCTGCAACTTTACTGAGTTTATCATTTCTAATAGTTTTTGGTGGAGTCTTTCGGTTTTTCCAAATATAAGAGCATATCATCTGCAAATGAGGATAATTTGACTTCTTCCTTCTGATTTGGATGCCCTTTATTTCTTTATCTTGTCTGATTGCTCTAGTTAGTACTTTCAGTACTATGTTGAATAACAGTGGTGAAAGTAGGCCAGATCTTAAAGGAAAGTCAGTCAGTTTTTCCCATTCGGTATTACACTAGCTGTGGGTCTGTCATATATGGGTTTTATTATATTGAGGTCTGTTCCTTTTATACCCAGTTTTTGAAGTGTGTTTACCATGAAGGGATGTTGAATTTTATCAAATGCTTTTCCAGGATCAGTTGAAATGATCATATGGTTTTTGTCCTTCATTCTATTGATATGATGTATCACATTGATTGATTTGTGTATGCTGAACCGTCCTTACATCCCTGGGGTAAATCTCACATGGTCATGACAAATGATCTTTTTAATATATTACTGAATTCTGTTTGTTAGTATTTTTTGAGGATTTTTGCATCAATATTCATTAGAGGTATTGGCACGTAGTTTTCTTTTTTTGATGTGTCTTTGGTTTTGGTATCAGGGTAATACTAGCCTCGTAAAATGAGTTTGGAAGTAGTCCTTCCTCCTCCAATTTTTGGAATAGTTTGAGTTGGTTTGGTATTAGTTCTTCTTTAAATGTTCGGTAGAATTCACAGTGCAGCCATCAGGTCCTGGGCTTTTCTTTACTGGGAAAATTTTTTTTATTGTGGTTTCAATCTTATTATTGTTCTGTTTAGGTTTTGGATTTCTTCATGGTTCAATCTTGGTAGGTTGTATGTATGTGTCTAGGAATTTATCTGTTTCCTCTAGATTTTCTAATTTATTGACATATAGTTGCTCATAATAGCCACTAATGAGCCTTTGAATTTCTTCATTGTCAGTTGTAATGCCTCCTTTTTAATCTCTAATTTTATTTATTTGGGTCGTGTCCTTTATTTTCTTTGTTAGTCTATTAATTTTGCTTATCTTAAAAAAAATAAACTTTTTGTTTCATCAACCTTTTCTTCATTTCAAATTCTCTATGCTCTAATCTCAAATGCTCTAATCTTCATTTCTTCTACTAATTTTGGGTTTGGTTTGCTTTTGCTTTTCTGGTTCTTTAAGATGCATTGCTGGCTGGATGTGGTGGCTGATGCCTATAATCCCAGCACTTTGGGAGGCCAAGGCATGCAACTCGAACCCGGAAGTTTGAGACCAGCCTGGGCAACATGGTGAAAGTCCATCTCTAGAAAAAAATACAAATTAGTCAGATGTGGTGGTGCACGCCTGTAGTTCCAACTACTTGGGGGGCTGAGGAGGGAGGATGGTTGAGCCTAGGAAGGTCCAGTCTGTAGTGAGCCATGATCATGCCACTGCACTACAGCCTGGGCATCAGAGTTTCTCTCTGCCTCAAACTAACAAACAAACCAAAAAAAAAAAAAAAAAAAAAAAAAAAAGAAAAGATGCATTGCTAAGTCATTTATTTGAAGTTTTTGTTCTTTTTTGTTGTAGGCACTTACAGCTGCATAAATTTCCCTCTTAGTACTGCTTTCACTATATCCCATAGATCTTGGCATGTTGTGTTTTCATTATCATTTGTTTCAATAAATTTCTCAATTTCCTTCTTATTTTCTTCATTTACCCACTGGTAATTTAGGTGCATGTCATCTAATTTCTGTGTCTTTGTATAGTTTCCAAAGTTCTGGTTATTAATGTCTAGTTTTATTCCATGTGGTCAGAGAAGATGCTTGATATTATTTCAGTTTTTAACATATTTTACAGCTTGTTTTGTGACCTAACATATGGTCTGTCCTTGAGAATGATATTCATGCTGAGGAGAATAATGTGTATCTGTAGCCTTTGGATGAAATGTTCTGTAAATGTCTATTGGGCCCACTTATTCTGTAGTGCAGATTAAATCTGATGTTTGTTGAGTTTCTTTCTGGGAAATCTGTCCAGTGCCAAAAGTGGGTGCTGAAGTCTCCAGCTATTATTGTATTGCGGTCTAGCTCTCTCTTTAACTCAAATAATATTTGCTTTATGTACCTGGGTGCTCCAGTGTTGTGTGCATATATATACAATCATTATATCCTGTTGCTGGATTGACCTGTTTAGCATTATATAATGACCTTCTTTGTCTCTTCTTACAGTTTTTGTTTTGAAATCTATTTTATCTAAGTATAGGTTCTCCTGCTTTTTTTTTCTTTTTGGTGTAGAATATCTTTTTCTACCCTTTTTATTTTCAGTCTATATATATCTTTATAAGTGAAGTATGTTTCTTGTAAGCAACAGATCATGGGGTCTTGTTTTATCATCCATTAAACCAGTCCGTCTTTTGATTGAAGAGTTTAGTCCGTTTACATTCAATGTTATTACTGATAAGGGCCTTAATCCTGCCATTTCATTATTTGTTTTCCAGTTGTTTTCCAGTTGATTTTCTCTTGTGGTATAATTTAATTTCCTGATTTTTATTTTTTGTGTGGTCATTGTATGTTTTTTGACTTAAGGTTACTGTGAGGCTTGCAAATACTATCTTATAACCCATTGTTTAAAGCTGATGACAACTTGACACTGATTGCATAAACAAACATGCAAAAAGAAAACTAACACAAGCTCTACACTTTTATCTCCCTAGTTTTTAACTTGTTACTGTTTCTGTGTTATTGTACTGTCTGTGTCTTAAAAAGTTGTTGTAGTTATTATTTTTAATTGGTTCATCATTTAGTCTTTCTACTTAAGAGTAGGTCACACTCAATTACAGTGTTATAATATTCTGTGTTTTTCTTTATGTTTACTATTACCAGTGAGTTTTGTACCTTCAGATGATTTCTTCTTGCTCATTAACATCCTTTTCTTTTAGATTAAAGAACTACCTTTAGCATTTCTTGTGGGACAGGTCTAGTGTTGATGGAATGCCTCAGCTTTTGTTTTTCTGGGAAGATGTGTTATTCTCTTTAATGTTTGAAGGATATTTTTGCTGGATATACTATTCTAAGGTAAAAGATTTTTTTTTCTTCGGCCCTTTAAATATGTCATGCCGCTCTTTCCTGGTCTGTATGGTTTCCACTGAGAAGTCTGCTGCTAGATGTATTGGAGCTTCTTTGTATGTTGTTTGTTTCTTTTCTCTTGCTGTTTTTAGGATCCTTTCTTTATCCTTGACCTTTGGGAGTTTGATTATTAAATGCCTTGAGGTAGTCTTTTTTGTGTTAAATCTGCTTGGTGTTCTATAATCTTCTTTTATTTGAACATTGATAACTTTCTCTAGGTTTGGGAAGTTCTCTGATATTATCCCTTCAAATAAACTTTCTACCTCTCTCTTTCTGCCTCTTCTTTAAGACCAATGACTCTTATATTTGTCCCTTTGAGCCTATTTTCTAGATGTTGTAGGCATGCTTCATTCTTTTTTCTTTTGTCTCCTCTGTATTTTCAAATAGCATGTCTTCAGGATTACTAATTCTTCTGCTTGATTGGTTCTGCTATTAAGAGACTCTGATGCAGTCTTCAGTATGTCAGTTGCATTTTTAACTCCAGAATTTCTGCTTGGTTCTTTTTAATTATTTCAATCTCTTTGTTAAATTTGTCTGATAGAATTTTGAACTCCTTTTCCATTATTTGAGATTCTTTGAGCTTTCTCAAAACAGCTATTTTGAATTCACTGTCTGAAAGGTCACATGTCTCTGTTTTTCCAGGATTGGTCACTGGTATCTTATTTAGTTCATTTGGCAAAGCCATGTTTTCCTGGGTGATCTTGATGCTTGTAGATGTTTGTCAGTGTGTAGGCATTGAAGAGTTAAGTATTGTACTCTTCACAGTCTGAGCTTATTTGTGCCAGTTTTTCTTGAGAAAGCTTTCCAGTTATTTAAAGGGACTTGGGTCCCCTGCCCAATATCACTAGGGTTCTTGCCAACTCGTAGAGGCCTTGGTGGTCTTGGATAAGATCCGGAAGAATTCTCTGGGTTATCAGACAGAGACTCTTTCTCTTCCTTTATTTTCTCCCAGACAAATGGAGTCTCTTTCTCTCTGTGCTGAGCTGTCTGAAACTAGGGGTGTGGTGATGCAAGCACCCCTGTACCCAGCACCACTGGGATTGTGCTGGGTCAAACCTGAAGCCAGAACAGCACTGGATCTTGCCCACAACCTGCTATAAACACTACCTGGCTACCACCTATATTCACTCAAGGCCCTAGAGCTCTACAGTCAGCAGGTGATGAGGCCAGCCAGGTTTGTGTCCTTTTCTTCAGGATGGCAGGTTCCCCCAGGCCCTGGGTGGGTCTAGAGATGCTGTCTAGTAGTCAGAGATTGAAGTTAGAAATCTTAGGAATTTATCTGGTGCTCTAGTGTTCTGTGGCTAAGCTGGCACTCAGACTACAACATAAAGTCCTTCACTCTCTCCCCTCCCCTTTCCACAGGCAGAGGTGCCTCTCCTTGTGGTCACCACCACCACCAGTCCATAGCGGGGTTTTGCCAGGCCACTGCTAGTGTTCACTTAAAGCCCAAGGGCTTTTCAGTCAGGTTGTGGTGAGTATTACCAGGCCTGGGACTCACCCTTCAAGGGAATGGGCTCCCCTCTGGCCCTGGGCAAGTCTAGAAATGCTGTCTAAGAGTCAAATCCTGGAATCAGGGACCCCAAGAGTCCACTTGGTGCTCTGCCCTGCTGTGGCTGTGCTGGTACTTAAGGTGCAAGACAAAGGTCCCTTTACTTTTTCCTCTGTTTCACAAGCAGAAGGAGTCTTTCACTGTAGCCACTATAACTGGGAATGTGCTGGGCCACCCCTGAAGTCAGTGTGTCTCAGAGCCCAAGGGCCATGGCCTACTATTAATACCTTGGTATTGCTGCTGGTTATTTGAGGCCCAAGGTCCCTTTAGTCAGCAGGTGATGAACGCTGTCAGAACTAGGTCCTTCCCTTCAAGGCAGCAGGTTCCCTCTTGGCCCAGGGTGTGTCTAGAAATGTCATTCAGGAGCTAGGGCTTGTAATGGTGGCTGTGTGACTCTGCCTGGCACCCCACTGGATGCCTTCCATGGCCAAGGTGGTATCCAAGATGCAAGATAACATCCTCTTTACTCTTTCCTCTCCTCTCCTTAAACAGAAGGAAGGAGACACTTTTGTTGTTGCGAATTGCACTGCCTGGTATTGGGGAAGGCATGGCAGAAGCAATCCTTTAGTGCCCCGGTTGGTGTTTCCCTAGGTCACAGTTGGTGTCTCCCTATGTGCCACCCTAGTCCTCTGGCTCTGAGCCGAGCCCAGCACTAGGATTTGCCTAGAAATTGGAGTCCTTGTATCCTAGACTGCCTTCAAGTTTACCTAGGACCCCAGAGCACTTTGGTCAGTGGTGGTGACTTGCTGACAAACTGGAGTTCTGACCCATGGGATGGGCGATTTTCCTCTGGATATAGCTAGTCCAAATGCTTCCTCCATGCATGGGTACTGTCTCAGCCCCACACGACTTTGCTCTCCACTCTGACAGGGCAGCACTGAGTTCAGTGTACAGTCCCCCATTCACTGTGCTGTCCCTCCCCCAAGTACACAGACTTCTTCAGGCTGCACAGCCACTGCAGGAGTGAGTCAGGGAGGGGTGGTATCAGCAATTTAAATCTCTCCAGCCTTCCTCAATGACTCTTTCAATGATATGAAGTTAAAACCAGGTACTGTGATTGCTCACTTGATTTTTAGCTCTCATGATGATGTTTTTATGTGCAGGTAGTTGTTAAAATTTGGTGTTCCTGCAGAGGATATGAATAGTGTAGGCTTCTATTCCACCATCTTGCCTCACTTTAATTTCTTGATGTGTCTTTGTCAAAAGCTTTTACTCCTGATACTTCACTTTTAGCATCTTCACAGTCTTCTCAACATTGAAGTTTTTCCTGATTTGAGACAAATTTTTCTACCCATTAAGTGAATTTTTAAAAAAATGTCTTGTGCCTACTTCTAATTTCTCTTGTATGCTGTGTAAGTTGAAAGACTCTAAAGGGATGGGGAAGCCGGAATTAGAAATATTATGTAAAGGCCTTGATATTCTTACATTTTCCCCTTAGGATGGAATTTTGTAACCCATAACAAATGAAAGGTGCAACTAGTGTTATAGACCTTATCTTCATACTATAGCATTTAGAATTCTGTGCCTTTATGTTATGGAAACCCAGGATAGTTCTGAAATGATGAATGTTCAGAGAGGCACTTGAATATATCTTAGTGGTTTGGTTTTTTTTCTGTATGATATATGACCTTTCTTTACTCATTTAAGAGAGATCGGCAAGAAGTACGATCTAGGCCTGTTTCAAAACAAATGAAATCATGTGATGATGAAGATGATTACAGTTTAAGGTAAGTAACTTAAATTCTCAATCACCTTCTTTTAAAATGATGTACATGGATCTTTAACTATATAAGATCTTTTTGCATGCAAACATTGAAAATTCTATAATTTTAAGAATAATGTATATATAGGGGGCTTATACCAATCCGACACAGTGGAAGCCCTTTATCTCATGTAATTTTCAAAATATTATTTTGAAATGTATATTCTTGTCCTCATTTTAAAAACTTTAGAGAGGAAACAGGAAAAAGTATATAACTGATGTGAATAAAACTATGAAATCATATTGTAGCAGACACAATGATGATCACCAAACATTCCAGGTCTCTTACAGTTGTCAGTGGGCTATGAAGGGAAGTTTAGTTAATCTTTTCCAAGCCAAAACAGACAAGAATTGTGTGTGAACCTCCAGCTGACTTTCCAGCCATGAAGATGAGTAAAATTCCAATTGGTAAAATCTCCTAGCCTGGTCTCTGGGTGACCATGTGTGGAACATGTAGAAAAAAGGGTCCTTCTTCCTCACTATGGCTGCATTGAATGGGTTAAGCCGCTGGAATTTTTAGGTTACTAGCCTGCTTATCTTTGCTAAGGTTGAAATTGGTATTGGGAATGGAATGCTGCGTAACAAAAACTCAGAAGTGTGGCATTACCTTAGCAGTTAGGTGGGAACCAGCAAGGAAACTGATATTGGAGGCTGAAAAGATAAAGGATTAATGTTATGTAGTGGCAATGAATTAAGTCAAACTGTCATCTGTGGTAAATTGGGAGGCACAACAGGTGTCTAATGAACTTGTTCTCTGGGGAAAGAGGCTGAAACACAATATTAGCAGTATGTGCTCTTTTTTTTTTTTTTTGAGATGGAGCCTTGCTCTGTCGCCTAGGCTGGAGTGCAGTGGCCCGATCTTGGCTCACTGCAAGCTCCGCCTCCTGGGTTCACGCCATTCTCCTGCCTCAACCTCCCGAGTAGCTGGGACTACAGGCACCCGCCATCACGTCCGGCTAATTTTTTTTGAATTTTTAATAGAGACGGAGTTTCACCGTGTTCGCCAGGATGGTCTCGATCTCCTCACCTCGTGATCCGCCCGCCTCGGCCTCCCAAAGTGTTGGGATTACAGGCGTGAGCCACTGCACCCGGCCTCAGTATGTGCTCTTGAAGAGACAAGTTTGGGATAGATTTGGCTGATTTGCAAGCAGAAATAAAAGGGAATACCTGATTATCTAATTCAGATTCACAAAGATTTACAACCATGATTTCTTTGAAGAGCTTTATGGTTTTAATTCTTAGATTCAGGTTCTTTGATCCATTTTGAGTTAATTTTTGTATGTGGTATAAGAGTCAACCTCCATTCTTTTGCACATGGATAGTCATTTGTCTCAGCATTATTTGTTGAGAAGACTATTCTTTCCCCATTGAATGTTCTTAGCACTCCTGTCAAAAATCAGTTGACTGTAGACATATGGTTTTATTTTTGGACTTTCATATCTGTTCCATTGATCTATATAGCTGTCATTATGCCAGTAGCACATAATGTGCTTGATTACCCTTGTTGTAATTGTCAAGTTGTGGAGTAAACTGGTTTTAGACCTCAAGAATTACAAGGTAAAATCGAGAAAATCTGTAAGGAACAAAAGCCTATCAAAATTCAACCTTGAGGCAAATATCAGTCTAAACATGTGGACTTTATGACTATTGATAAAATTTTCCAATGGATTAAGGCTTCTCAGGGCAAGAATCAGATTAAATGGCACATAGTGAAACTTTTCATTTGGGCAAAATGACCCACGGCAAAGACCTAACTAAAGTTATAGTCTCTCCTTAGAAGCTTGACACTGTTTAACCCATTTTTAAATTGAGAAAGAGAGGTCAGGTGAAGAAATAAAGAAAAGAATTAGTCTTGGAAAGAATTGTAGGTGATGTAATGGCATGTAGAACTGACTGAAATTAAATAGGGAAGAAACCTACTAGTTTGGGGGAAAGTTTTATCAGCAAAGAAACTCTAAGAATGGACTAAAATTATTTGTGGCTTTTAAAATATTAAAACAGCTATGGGTACCCCACCTCCCAGTATTCTAAGATCAAGAAGCAGGCTGTAAGAGGTGCACAGCCCTACAGGGTTTAGAGACAAAAGAGAAGTTTATTCCTACATGGCAGTATATTTGGCTCATGTGAAATATTGGGATATTATTCATGTATTCAAAAATAATTATTGCATACAATCCAGTATTTCCTTCCCTAGATATTTACCCAAGAGAAATATAAACATATATCCATGAAAAAACCTGCATGAAATTATGGTATATCCATGCAGTGGAATACTACTTGGCAATAAAAAGCCATGAACTACTAGTAGAATAACAACATATTTGCTAAGTGAAAGAAGCCAGGCTAAAAAACATATATAATCTATGTTTCCACTTATTTGATGCTCTGGAAAAGGCAGAGCTTTAGGGACAGAAATCAAAATGGTTGTCTGGGGCTTGAGTAGGGGTTAGGGGACTACCAAGCAACACAAGGGAACTTTTTGAGATGATGGAAATATTCTCTGTCTTGTGGTTGTGGTGATTATGTGACAATATACGTTTGCTAAAACATATTGAACTGTATATGTAAAAAGAGTATATTGTATGATATATCAATTATATCTCAAACCTGAAAAAAATAATTTTTGAACACTGTTAGTGCCAGGTCTAGCTACTGGTATTACAGTGGTGAGTAAACAGACCTGATCTTGTTTCCAAGAAGTTAATATGTGTTGCTTTTGAGTATTTTTTAAGTACCTCAAGTACATATTTTTATATTTTGATATACATATGTATGCATACATATAACATGAAACCACTTTATTAGATGTAATACTCTGATATTCTATGAAGATATTTAAATTATCAAAATTCCAAAATTTGGATTATACATAAGATTTAACATGGTGTTTATCCAGTAAACTGAAGAACTGAAATGATACTAACAACAGATGATGTTGTGATGATAACGCTCTGTTTATCTATCAGTTTTTTTAATGCTACTGTTTGAACAGATGGCTTTTACCATGTAAAACATGGCATTTGGTGATCAGTTGGGAATTGCTGAATATGGGAGATAATTCTGTAAAGAAACCATTCATTTCAGGTTGGAACAATGATATTCCACCTAAATAAGGAAGAATATATTTAAATAGGTCTTCAACACCCAGGATGACTCTGTCAAAAACTGTGATGGGAAACCAGAGTTTAATTTCCTAATAATGTAGTATACATATCCTCCAGTCTGCTTGAAGCATGGTTTACCATACAGTCATCTCCATCATATTACAAACATTTCATGGAGTTAAACAAAAGTAAAAATACCATATTATAGCTTATTTTTCATGGAAATATACTAGCAAAGTAATATTGCAAAATCTGATGGAGACAGATAACCCTTAAATGTCTTTTGACTGATGTGTATACATGTGTGTTGGGGAATGAAATGAGAGGTACAGAAAATGTACTAAAGAAATGACAAACATTAATTTAAAATGAGGAAGATTAAAGAGGACACTTAAAATTTGTATAATATTTGGAAACATTTTCATGTCATTTGTGAGAGTGATTCTTTAGTTTCTGTAATTTTTAACATATTTTGAAAGCCTTTTTTTTCTTCCCAGAGGTATTTCTAATAGTTAAGAGGTTTATTTATCTAAGTGTATCTTTGTATTTAATACTGAAAAAACTTATGCATGGCTAGCTCAGTGGGAGGCATCTGATGGAAAATAATTTTAGTTGTATGTCCTCTCCAATGGTTAGGACTTCTCAGGGGATATGACGGAGTTTTTTCATAGCAATAATGGATGCTAACATGGTATGTTTTCAGAGATGTAAATACAATGCCAAAGACAATGTGTTAGGCAAACTTTTTCTGTAAAGGGGCAGATAGCAAATATTTTTAGATTTGTGGGCTAGTCTGTGTTGTACCTACTTAACTTTAAGGTTGTAGTGTGAAAACAGCCACAGATAATACATAAATGAATAAGTGGGTGGATTCAGCCTGTGGGCCATAGTTTACAGACTTCCATAAACACTCCTTGTTTTTTTGTTGCTGTCGTTTGAGACGGAGTTTCGCTCTGGAGTGCAGTGGTGCAATCTCGGCTCACTGAAAGCTCCACCTCCTGGGTTCATGCCATTCTCCTTCCTCAGCCTCCCAAGTAGCTGGGACTACAGGTGCCCGCCACCACGCCTGGCTAATTTTTTATGTTTTTAATAGAGATGGGGTTTCACTGTGTTAGCCAGGATGGTCTCGATCTCCTGACCTTGTGATCCGCCCGCCTTTGCCTCCCAAAGTGGTGGGATTACAGGTGTGAGCCACCGCGCCTTGCCAACACTCCTTGTTTTAAACTACAAATATATTTTGAAAACCTTGTATATAAAAATAAATTGCATTTTAGATGTGTTTATTCATGCACTCAACAAATACTTAAGCCAGTAGTACCTGGCATATAAGCTTTTAAATTGACTAGGCATAGAATATTGAACAAGGCAGACATGATTTCTGCCCTCATAGAGTTCACAGTATAATGAGGAAAACAGGCACTGACCAAGTGTTTTAAGTGGATTAAAAGAACGGTAACATTGAGTGGGCTCATAATAAAAAGCCCTGTGGTGAATCATTTGTAAAATGGGTAATTGCTGTGGATAGCCCACAATTCTTGATGATTTGCATTCATTAAAATTTTTGCTAGTTTCCTACTAGGAATATTGGCATTATAGTGTATCTTCTTAAAGGTGAATTATTTAACCAAAGCATTTTTCTTGTTTATGGTACTCATTCAGAATAAATTAACATGTGGATAACTACAGTTATAGCAAAGATTATTTGATAGTTGAATTAGTTTCCCTTTCAAATACAATTGTTGAATATCATTGTCTCAGCTCAGTGTCATCTATTATTAATGTATAATGTTTATTTTTGGTCTGCAGAGGTGTATTACCATCTGAAGGGATAGTTCATCTTCATTCAGAAACTAAGGTATGAAATGAAACTTTCTCTGAATACAATTATATTCTGTAGAACTTAGGTTTTTTTAGACTTTTCTTAGACAAAGCAGAGAAGGGGTATGACTCAACAGAAACAATATAAACCTTGATACTCAGAGGGATGCATTTATGAAATGTCACTCATATAATAAATGGAACCCTTTGTTGTCTCATAATTTCACTGAATAATTTGGAGGTACAGTGGAAAAAATTCTAGGTGAAATGACTTTGTAAACTGAGGCTTATTTTTTTTTTCTGAAGCTTACATCTAGTAGAGCGAAGACCTGAAAAAGAATGATACTCATATGCAAAGAAGGTGATTTGAAAAGTTTGTTCATTCATTTAAATATTTACAGTGTAGAGATCACTCTTCTAGGTGTAGAACATACTGGGATCTATGTTTCCCATCCATGGAGACCTAAGCCAAGGGAACTGTATACCTGAAGGCCATGGAAGGCCTGCCTGGGGAATAATTGGTTCGTGAGGAGAACTAAATTCTGTGAGTCAGAATGTCCAGATTTATTCACGACAGTCCACTGGCTAGCTGAATACCATTGAATCTTTAGGACTCATTTTCCTTATCCTTGAATTTCTTGGTTTTGATATTATCTAGGTCTTTTCCAGCTATACAGTTGTGATATTCTTGAAAACACATTTTTGGTAATTCCATCAAAATAGCAGTTTTTCTGTGTAGCAAAATAGCAATTCTATGTGTTACAGAATTGCTTTCTTTGGCAAATGATTAGACTCTAATTAATCAATACTTTCAATTCTTTTAATGTAGCCAAAGACCAAAAACATTGATCCTGTAAACAAGGTTCAAAACAAATTACACTCTGCAAATGAAGGAAGGAAAACAAATTCAAGGTATAGTATAGTTTTCAAAGTATTTTTTTTTTTAGTTTTATAATTCACAATACTATCATTCTTAATTATTAAGCTCTGTTTGTTTTTCCAGATCTTTTTATACCCTAAACATTAAGTTACCCCACATATATCTTATCCACATTCAGTAATTTAGAACATTTTCTACTCAGAAATGTTTTGCAGCAGTTAACAAATATTTTATATTGTTCTCAAGAAAAATTCTAAATCTAAAATTTTTATAAATGTTATTTCTAGTGATTTATTCTCTTAGAACTGTGACTGTAACTGAGGTTTGTTTTGTTTTGTTTTGTTTTTTGATCGCTGCCTAGTTCTCTCAAATAGGCTCAATAGTCTAGTTTTTGAGTATTTGACAAAGTGCATACATTATTTTGTCTATTGAGCTACAGAATTATTTGCCATGCTCTAAATAGGACTATAATATAATTATAATTTACATTTTATTGTTTTTGGTGAGAAAGAATTCAAGACAGTTCTTAGTATTATAGGCATAAAAAGGGACCCAAGATGCTCCCTAGGATAGGATGCTTTCTAGAAAAGGTGGAGGATTGAGTTGCACCAACCATCTTCAGTCAGTTATTACATTTAGATGTCTATTACTTACCCAAACTGATCACTGCATTGTAATTTTGGAAAAATCTTTGTTCATTTTTGTGTCTTTTAATTGTTTAAATAACTTTTTTGTTTTGTTTTTTTTTTAAATAAAAGGGATGGAAAAAATAGAGTAAAGTGATAAGGAACAGAAAATAACTATACAATAGATTGAAGAAAAGAACTTACAGGCCACATACATGCATACATAACTGGAAAGGGTTACCTTTTCAGACTTCACATTTTTTTTTTAAAAAGTTGATTTTTCAAATAGAATTCCGAAGACCAAGACCTACTATTTGATAGCACAATAGGGTGACCATAGCCAATAATAACTTAATTGTATTTTTAAAATAACTTAAAGAGTATATTTAGATTGTTTGTAATTCAAACAATAAATGCTTGAGGGGATGGATACCCCCTTCTTCATAATGTGCTCATTTCACATTGCATTCCTGTATCAAAACATCTCATAAATATGTACACCTACTGTGTACCCACAAAAAATTAAAATGAAAAGAAAAGAATTCTGAAGCATTTGCTTATGTTTTAAAAGTGAATTTGGCTTTCAGAACCATAAATTTGTTGATGTGTCAATGAATTAGGCCTCGCCCATTCCTCAGTGCCTTTAGAAATGAGTTTTATTTTGTCGGTCTTCTCCATTTCATTAAAAAAAAAAAATCAAATCCAACTTTTTGGTTAATATTGATCGTGGTAAGAATGTGTTTCTTTGGGTGGAAAAAAATGTTATTTGATTGAGCTATTAGCTCTTCACTCTGTAATTTTTTTTCAAGAGGTATTTTTCTTTGCTGTTTGCAGAATTATGGCCAGGGTGATGTCAGTTTGTACAGTTTTTCTCCAGAGGCATGTAAATTTCAAAGCCACAGGCTGGATTTGACCTAGGAGGCCAAGTGCAGTACTCTTAGTTTTCGTATTCCCTTATATGGAGGCAAAGTCTAGACCATCTGGCCTCATAAAGCCTTCTCTAGCTCTGTGGTCATGCGATTCATAAAGACCAAAAATCTGCTAAGTCTCTTGTAATATAGTCCTTGAAAGTATCATATGTAGATTTCATCATAAATTTCAAATGTGTAATAGTAGCCTCTTGTAATATAAGCCTTAATATCAATTACAGATTTCATCATAAATTTAAATTTATAATTTTGATCTGCTTATTTGAGTAAAAGGCATATATCCTTTCTACCTTTCTATTTTGTTCACATGTATGTATATACATACATATGTATTTAATTTTTATTTTTTAGTGTTAAATTGAAATACTCTGATGTCCAAACTGCCGACGATGTTGCCATTCCAGAGGATTTCTCAGACTTTTCCCTTGCAAAAACAATTAGCAAAATTGAAGGGCAACTGGAGGAAGAAGGCTTACCTGAATATACAGATGATATTTTTTCTGGTGTTAGTAATGACATTGGAACAGGTAGATTTTCTTTTGTTTCTTATTTTTATCTTTATAGCACAGTTACTTAGAAGAGGAAGTCTTGGGGAACTATTTCTTACATTAAAAAAAAATGTATTGTGATGTCTTGGTTTGTTTCAGTATAATCTAGTAGGATGTGGTGGAGGGAGGAATGAATGGGATTATAGATGAAATAAAACTGGCCATGAGTCAGTCATTGTTAAAGATAGGCAGTGGGTAAATGGGGTTCATTGAACTTGCCTACTTTTATGTTTCATATTTTCCATTATAAAAAGTAAAAATAAAAAAGACTGTATTTACTGGTTTGATTGAATACATTTCAACTTAAGTTAAAATACCCATCGCTTATTGTTACAATATTTAAAAAGTTTTTCTGAATTTTTTCGTTTACTGTTACTATATTTTATTTATTGCATGTTAAATCAACACATGCAAAAGGACAAATGAATTGACATTGCATCAGGTAAAATAAATGAATTTTCTAATGTATATAATTTTTCTTATTAACTCATTCTTTGCGTATCACTAGAATAATACTAAATTTCAATCAACTAAAAACATTACTAAATTTATGAGGAGCCTCCTATGCTATTGAAGCAAAAAAGTAAGACAATTGAGTATATATGAACTAGTTACTGCCGAACTATAATACAATTAATTGTGACTACAGGCAAGCCACTTAGCACCTCTGTAATAGCAGTTTATTCATTTGAAAATTTAGCAGTTTGTATTAGATGATCATAAAGTTTATGTATTAGTCTGTTCCTGCACTGCTATAAAGAAATACCTAAGACTGTGTAATTTATAAAGAAAAGGTTTAATTGGCTCATGGTACTGCAGGCTGTACAGGAAGCATAGCAGTTTCTGCTTCTGGGGAGGCCACAGGAAACTTCCAATCATGGCGGAAGGCAAACAGGGAGTGAGACACCTCACATGGTAGGATCACGAACAAGAGATAGAGGGGGGAGGTGCCACATGTTTTTAAACAATCAGATTTCATGAGAAGTCACTATCATGAGGATAGTACCAAAAGGGATGATACTAAACCATTTATGAGAAATCGCCCCCATGATCCATTCACCTCCTACCAGGCCCCACCTCCAACACTTGGGGATTACAATTCAACATGAGATTTGGGTGGGGACACAGATCCAAACCATATCAGTTTATCTTTAAAATTATCTGATTCTGTGAGAAATCATAATTTATATGTGTAATAATTATTGTGTTATATACTAGTCATAAGTAGGGAGCAATTTTCTTCTGCACTTACTATATTTACTGACCGAATCAAGCTTTCTAGGGCTAGTTATGGTAAGGAAATGTAAGTGGAGCAGTAAGTTGCCTTTAGATCTCTCTAAGATGCTTTTGAGGATGTGATACCCAGGCGTTGATTGTTCCTCGGTAGAGGAACATGGTCCCAGGTCCCATGGCCCTGTTAGAACTGCCTCCCTGTGTTCCCTTTTTAGTATCACTGGTCTAGGTGTCTTCTTCTTTGGGACAATTTTCTCTTATTTCAGGTGATTGCTTGGAATGGTTTGGTTATGTGTGGGAGAAAAAAGATCAAGAAGTAGTTTGGGAGCACAGATTACTTTGTAAGATTAAAGCTAGGGTCGAGTGGGGAGCAGAGTTTAGTACTGTGGGCCTCCAGACATGGGAGCACTCTGCTCCTTGAGTTAGAGTTGAGGTAGAGTTACTAAGGTTAGAGTTAGGGAGAAAAAGAAATGGGAAAAGTCATGCTTTTCTATTTTTTCTTCCTTCTTTCCCTCAGAGGCCAACTACTGTCAACTTCACACTTTTTAATTTGTCATTTCCCTCTATTCCATGCTCACCTGGAGTTACATGGTAGGAGAGTTGAGGCCAAAGAGACCTAGGTAGAGTTAGAGCCAACCCATAATTCATCAGCTCGATGATAACACTGAGGGCACTTAAAAAAGCTGGAAGTGTGTATGGAGATGTTTTATGCTGTGCACATCACATGTGTATGGCTTAGTGGATTTGTCCTAATGACTTCTCAGAGCAGTTCCAAGTGTTTCCTCAAGATAAATTTCATGATTGTTTTATAATATTCCTACTATGCCATTTTGAACAAATGACCGAATGACTTATGAGTGAGTTCTTAATTCAGTTTTCACTTTATTTACTTTACGGGCCTATAAACTTCAAAGATTTACTGCTGATATTATTGAATAATGGACTTTTGCTTGCAGTAAAATACCAAAGATAGATCTTGAAGGTTTGTGAGAGAAAGCTTAGACAGTAAGGTATTAGTGTATTTCTTTGCTTCAAAGACACATATACTACATTTTAACTGCTCAGAAATTGGCATCTGCATTACAGTCAGTGGCATTTTGTAATCACAATGACTAGATTGAAGCTGACAGTGGCATTTTGTAATCACAATGACTAGAGAAGATTTATGTTTGTTTCTACCAAACACTCAGGGACATTACTGACCTGAGAACACTTTAAATTCTCTGATGTAGTTTGGACCACCCTGGCGAGTGTGAATTTAGTCTGCAAACTTATGTGACTACTACCTGTGATTTCTTTCTGTTGACTGGATTTATTCGTCATTGACCCTTTCATTAGGACTGTTTAGTACCTATAGTGCCCCCTAACAGATGTCTCCTATTTGACTCCCCATCTTGAGTATTTTCTTCTTTATAAAGTAATGGCCTGTCTTACAATTGATGTCATCTTAGATTCAGCAAAAGACAGTAAATATAATTATTTAAATTCACAGAAGCACAGATCAGATTTCTAAAGGCCAAACTGCGTGTTATGCAGGAGGAATTGGATAATGTTGTATGTGAATGCAATAAAAAGGTAAGCTTTAAAAACCTCTTAAAAGGCTGTAATATTCAAAGACATTTTAGGAGCAATTTCAATTACATTTTGAATAACTTTATTTAGATATAAATCATAGTTAAATTTTGAATTCAAAAATTGTATATAAGTACTGAACTTTATTCTGATATGTTGAATTTTCACAGAGCTGAAATATCTTACATTTTTGTTATAATTAGTATTCTCTATATTAGTCTTACAAGTGTAGTGTAAGCTATTAAATGCAAATAAAACATTTGACTTCCATTTTTGAAGATAAAAATAGACTAATTTGTTTTTCATGAAATTTGTATAAATGTCAAAGAACATATGAAACTTCTTTTTTCTGCTTTGTTTTGATAACAAATCTTACATATTTTTTCACATAATCTATAATTTCATAACTATAGGAGGATGAAATTCAGAATTTAAAGTCTCAAGTAAAAAAATTTGAAGAAGATTTTATGAGACAGCAGCGAACAATTAATATGCAGCAGTCTCAAGTAGAAAAATATAAGACTCTTTTCGAAGAAGCAAACAAAAAGTGTGATGGATTACAGCAGCAGTTGTCTTCAGTAGAAAGGGTAATTATTTTAGTATTTTTCCTAACTTAATGCCAAAAATACAATAAAATTATTAAGGTTACACATTTGTATAGATGCCATTTTGACAGTTCAGTTATTTTATTAGTATTTACTGAAAACTCTTTCCCCTGCCATAGAATATTTTTTAACAACTGTATTGAGATGTAAAGTATAAAGTATACTTTTAAAGTATACAATTCAGTGGCTTTTGGTGTATTCATAGAATTGTGCAACTATCACTACAACCATTTTCATAATCCCTAAAGAACACTTCATACCCTTTAGCTACCACACCCTGACCCTGCTCCCCTCAATCCCTTACAGCCCTAGGCAACCACTAATCTATTTTGTGTCTCAATAAATTTGTCTATTCTGGATATTTCATATACATGGAATCATATAACATGTGGTCTTTGTGACTTTTACTTAAGATGTTTTCAAGGTTCATCCATGTTGCAGCACCTATCAGTACTTTATTTCTTTTTATTGGCAAGTAATATTCTGTTATATATAACACATTTAATTTACCTGTTTATCAGTTGGTAGCTTTGGGTTATTTGGGTTGTTTCTACTGTCTGGCAATTTTAAATACTTTCAATATGCATGTATAAGTTTTTGTGTGCACATATGTTTTCCTTTCTCTTGGTTATATAGCCAGGAATGGAATTGCTGGGTCATATGGAAATCTTGTGTTGACCTTTTGAGGAATTGCTGTTTTCCAAACTGCCTGTACCATTTTACATTCCTACCAGTAGTGCATGAAGGTCCTAATTTCTACACATCCTCACCAACATCTACTAGATTATCTTTTTGATTATAGCCATACTGCAAGTGTAAAAGAGTTACCTCATTGTGGTTTTGATTTGCATTTCCCTAATAACTAATGATGCTGAACATCTTTTCATGTGCTTAATGGCATTTGTCTATTTTATTTGGAGAAATGTCCTTAAGATCTTTGCCCATTTTTTAAATTGGATTTTTAAAAATTAATAATAAGAACTTTTAAGTTATATGTTTAGATACAAGTCCCTTATCAGATATATGATTTGCAAATAGTTTTCCCATACAGTGGGTTGTCTTTCACTTTATGGTACTCTTTGAGGCACAAAAGTTTTAAATTTTGATGAAGTCCAGTTTATCTAACATTGATTTGGTTGCCTATGCTTTTGGTGTCATATTTAAGGGGAGAATGTATTTTAAATAAACTATCCTAGCTTAAAACATTTTATATTAGTGTACCATTGTGAAAATAAAAATATACTGTTTGCGATTGCTTTGTAAAATGTGATAAGAATTATGTAATATAGCACATCGTGAGATTTAGTAAGAAAATGTGCCCCCTTTATTAATACCCTTACATTTTTCTTTTGTATGGTCATATTTAAAAACCCTGCTTTTTAAACATTTTGGGCTTGTATAATTAGCATTATCTTGTAATAAATTTTAATATCAGATTCACTTAGATATAATTTGTATGCAGTAAATTCACACTTTTTAGTGTACAATTCTATGAGTTTTGACAAACGTATGCAGTAATGTAACTATCACTATAATTGAGCATAGAACAGTTCCATCAGACCCCCAAAATTCCCTGTGAATTTAGTCAACGCCTTCCCTAATCCCAGCCCCAGGCAACCACTGATGTGTTTGCTTTTTAAATTTTGGCCTTTTCCCAAATGTCACATAAATAGAATCACATAGGATATAGCCTTTTGAATCTGATTTTTTTTTTTCAGTTAGCATAAAAGATTTGATATGGTTTGACTGTGTCCCCACCCAAATTTCATCTTGAATTCCCACGTGTTGTGGGAGGAAGCCGGTGGGAGGTAATTGAATCATGGGGGCAAGTCTTCCCTGTGCTGTTCTTGTGATGATGAAAAAGGCTCAGGAGATCTGATGGTTTTAAAAGGGGGAGTTTCCCAGCACAAATTCTCTTCTCTTGTCTGCTGCCATGTGAGACATGCCTTTCACCTTCCAACATGATTGTGAGGCCTCCTCAGCCATGTGGAACTGTGAGTCCAATAAACCTCTTTCTTTTGTAGATTGCCCAGTCTTAGGTATGTCTTTATCAGCAGCATGAAAATGAACTAATACAGTATATTGGTACCAGTAGAGTCGGGTGCTGATGCAAATGTTGAAGTGACCTTGCAACTGGGTAAGAGGCAGAGGTTGGAAAAGTTTGGAGGGCTCAGAAGAATACAGGAAAATGTGGGAAAGTTTGGAACTCCCTAGGGACTTGTTGAGTGGCTTTGACCAATATACTGATAATGATATGGACAATGAAATCCAGTCTGTGGTGGTCTCAGATGGAGATGAGGAACTTGTTGGGAACTAGAGCAAAGGTGACTCTTGTTATGTTTTAGTAGAGAGACTGGTAGCATTTTGCCCCTTTCCTAGAGATCTGTGGGACTTTGAAATTGAGAGATGATTTAGGGTGTCTGGTGGAAGAAATTTCTAAGCAGCAAAGCACTCAAGAGGTGACTTGGTGTTGTTAAAGGCATTCAGTTTTAAAAGGGAAACAGCACAAAAGTTTGGAAAATTGCAGCCTAACAATGCAGTGGAAAAGAAAATCCCATTTTCTGAGGAGAAATTCAAGCCAGCTGCAGAAATTTGCATAAGTCATGAGGAGACGAATGTTAATCCCCAAGATGATGGGGAAAATGTCCCCCAAGGCATGTCAGAGGTCTTCACAGCAGCCCCTCCCATCACAGGCCTGGAGGCCTAGGAGGCATGATTGGTTTTGAAATGTGAGGACATGAGATTTGGGAGGGTCCTGGGGTAGAATATGGTTTGGCTGTGTCCCCACCCAAATTTAATCTTGAATTCCCATGTGTTGCAGGAGGGACCTAGTGGGAGGTAATTGAATCGTGGGGGCAGGTCTTTCCTGTGCTGTCCTCATGATAGTGAATAAGTCTCAGAGATCTGATGGTTTTAAAAATGGGAGTTTCCCTGCACAAGCTCTCTCTTGTCTGCCACCATGTGAGACGTGCCTTTACCTTCCGCCATCATTGTGAGGTCTCCCCAGACACGTGAAACTGTGAGTGCAATAAATCTCTTTCTTTTGTAAATTGTACAGTCTTGGGTATGTCTTTATCAGCAGCATGAAAACGGACTAATACAACATGCAGTATTTATCCCTATTATAGTCCATTTCTTTTTATTGCTGAGTAGTGTAAACACTGAATGAATATACTTCAGTTTCTTTCCCCAGTCATCCAGTAATAAAACTTAATTATAGTATTTAATAGTCTAAACTTGTGTTTCCAATATGGTAGCCACTTACATTTGTGGCTAAATTGTGATGTGCTGTAAGTGTAAAGTAAAAATCAGATTTTGAAAAATTCATGTAAAACAGAATGAAGAATGTAAAATATATCAAAATCTCTTAATATTTTTTGTATTGGTTATATGTCGAAATAATATTTGAATATATGAGGTTAAGTGAAATACATTACTAAAATTAAGTTTACCAGTTTCTGTTTCACCTTTTAAAGTGGCTACTAGAAATTTTGTAATTACATAAGTATGCTGTATTCTATTTCTGTTGGTTTAAGAAATATATATAATGGGTGTAAAGGGAAAAAGCTGTAGTGTCTAGGGGAACATCCATGTTTTAATTTGTCATGACTTTACCATTTACCATTATGCACCCAAGCTCTGGTCACATCACTGTTCTAGTCTCACATAATCTTGAAACATTGGTTATATCTTTGATTCTTTTCATGTTCTTGGCCATCATCTCCAATCCTGTGCAATTTTTCTTCCAAATGTTTTTCATTCATTGCTTCTTTTCAATTCCCATTTTGTGTCCATTTTCCATTTCTTATCCATTGTATCCTGTACTTTGTCAGTAGGTTAATGTTCCCAGAGGGTGACATTGATTATACTTTTCCCTTTGTAGAGGGATAATTTTTTTCCCTTTGTATGGGGATGATTTTTTGAGTGCCATATGCCAGATAAAATGCATTTTATAGAAAGGGAAACTGAGTGGCCAGGCGTGGTGGCTCATGCCTGTTATCCCAGCACTTTGGGAGGCCAAGGCAGGCAGATCAGGAGGTCAGGAGATTTAGACCATCCTGGCTAACACGGTGAAACCGTGTGTCTACTAAAAATACAAAAAAATGCCATTCCAAGATGGCCAAATAGGAATAGCTCTGGTCTGCAGCTCCCAGCATGATTGATGCAGAAGACAGGTGATTTCTGCATTTCCAACTGAGGTACCTGGTTCATCTCGTTGGGACTGGTTGGACAGTGGGTGCAGGCATGGAGGGCGAGCCAAAGCAGAGCAGGTGTTGCTTCACCCAGGAAGTGCAAGGGGTTGGGGGATTTCCCTTCCCTAGCCAAGGGAAGTTGTGACACACTGTACGTGGAAAAACAGGACATTTCTGCCCAAATACTGCACTTTTCCCAAGGTCTTAGCAACCGGCAGACAAGGAGATTCTCTCCTGTGCCTGGCTTGGTGGGTCACATGCCCACAGAGCCTTGCTCACTGCTAGTATAGCAGTCTGAGATCGAACTGTGAGGCGGCAGCCTGGCTGGTGGTGGGGCGTCCATCATTGCTGAGGCTTGAGTAGGTAAACAAAGTGGCCAGGAAGCTTGAACTGGGCGGAGACAACCGCAACTCAGCAAGGCATACTGTCTCTATAGACTGCACCTCTGTGGGCAGGGCATAGCTGAACAAAAGGCAGGAGACAACTTCTGCAGACTTAAATGTCCCTGTCTGACAGCTCTGAAGAGAGCAGTTGTTGTCCCAGCACGGCATTTGAGCTCTGAGAATGGACAGACTGCCTCCTCAAGTGGGTCCCTGACCCCAAAGTAGCCTGTGAGACACCTCCCAGTAGGGGCCGATGGACACCTCATGTAGGCGGGTGCCCTTCTGGGATGAAGCTTCCGGAGGAAGCATCAGCCAGAAATAACTGCTGTTCTGCAATATTTGCTGTTCTGTAGCCTCCACTGGTGATACCCAGGCAAACAGGGTCTGGAGTGGACCTCCAGCAAAC